GGTGCTGGGGGATTGAACCGCGGTCCCTGTGCTTTGCTAAGCTTGTTCTAAGTAGGTGCTTTAGACCACTGAGCCATCTCTCCAGCCCCTCTTTTAATTTTTATATTTTTTCAAACTCAGGTCCTTGTGCTTGCCAGGCAAGCGCTTATCCTACTGAGCTATCTCCCCAGCCCGTTTCCTGCTCTTTCTGACTGGCTGGGCTGTGCCTGGCTCCTTTTTCTCCTCAGATTTTTCCTCCCCATCCTTTCCCTCCTCCTTCCCATCTCTCCCCTTCTTCCGGGGCTAGGGGTGAATGAACCCAGGGCCTTTGCGGAGCTACAGCCCTGCGTTTTTGTTCTGTTTTTGAGAAAGTGTCTTACTGCATATGTAGTTCAGACTGGTCTTGAACTCCTTATGTAGCGCAGGTTGGCATCAGACTCCTGCGGATGCTCCTGCCTTAGCCTCGCAAATGCTGGGATTACAGGCACGTCACTTGCCTGGCTTCTATTTTATATCCATTGAAAATGTGACCTTCCTGTGCCCTCCCAGGAGACTACCGTGACCTTAGCTTCCTCCCCAGCCCCAATGCAGGGACAGGAAGAGCCCGGGAAGCCTGGGGTGCCTTTCTTCCGGATGGCAAGCTAAGGACCCCTCCTCTTCTGACCCTCAGAGAACCTTGAGCTCCCCGCAATCCCGCGTGGACAGATCAGCGAAGGCGAGCTCCTGGAGCGCAGCGGCTGGGGCGGGCAGTGGCAGGCATCACCACCAGGGGGCGCCCGGGAGCCGCGCAGGACGTTTCCGGCCTTCTGCGGGCACACAGAGTGCCAAGCGCCCGCGCTAGGCGTGGCTCCCTGCGCAGGGGGTGCGCCCACCCTTGATTCTCCTCTCTGTTCGTGACCACTGCGAGCACAATTCTGGTGCAGCTGCCTGGAGTGGACCGTGTCCTTTGGCCAGGCTGCCAAACGGAGCCAGGCACAGCCCGATCGCGGCTTCCTAGCGCTCCGACCCCGACCCAAGGTCCCCCTGCGGACCCTCCCTGGCCCGGGCCACCCCCATGTCCCCTGTTTTGAGCGCTGGGGTCCTTGCGCAGCACTGGCTTCGGGGTCCGCAGCCGGGACCTTGCCCCAGACTCGGCGCCTCACTGGCCTGGGCAAGGTGGGAGGCAGCCCGCAGGCTCTGAGGGCCGGGCACAGCCCCGCTCCGGGCCACGGGGCCGGCGGCCACACCCTAGTGCCCGCTCATAACCGCCGGCCGCCTGGCTCAGTGACCTGTGCGCAGCTTAGAAAACACAAAACATCCTGTTTCTGTCCTTGAGGACCGTGTATGCTAACCGGGAACAAGTCACTAGCTAATCACAGGATCAAGAAGCTGGGACTAAGGCGAGAAAGGGAGACAACATCCAAGGCACTGGTGCAGGCTGGAATTCCAACTCAAAATAAAACCCAGCACAGCGCCAATGAGACCTGAGTTTCACAAATCCAAGCTCAGCCTGCCTATGAAATTTAGCAACTTAGTAACCCTCTGCCTCAAAATAAAAAAAATAAAATAAAATAAAAAGGGCTGGAGATACAGGTCAGTGTGAAGGCCCTAGATTTAATCCCCAGTATAAATAAAATACAACAACAGGAGGGAAGATACATCCCAGTACAAAGTCTTGGATTCGGGGCTGGTGAGATGGCTCAGTGGTCTAAAGCACCTACTTAGAACAAGCTAATCTAAGCAAAGCACAAGGACCACCGTTCAATCCCCCAGCACCACATGCCAGCCAGCCCCGCCCCCTGGTGTGCTGAGCTGGCCACACACACACTAAATAAATAAATAAATAAAAATTTTTTAAAAAAACCAAAACAAAGTCTTGGATTCAACCCCTAGAAATGCAGAGACAGATACTGATAGCGGCCAGCCCAAGTATAAACTGCTAAATTATTATGGTGGTCATCTTACATGACCAAATCCCCAAAACAACAATTTATCTTCCTAATCACCACCACTTCCTCCTTTGTCCCCACCCCAGTCCTGGACACCTTTCCCTCCCACACAAGAGAGACCCGGATCAGCTCCCTCTGTGTCACTAAACCTGCCCCACAAACTCTGCCCCTTGCAAAAGTCCTTAAAAGTCCTCAGGTGAGAGGACTTCCTTTGCCTCAGGTGAGAGGATCCCCCATCTTCCTGCTGTCCATCTTCTCAGTGGCTTCCTCAGTAAAGGCCTCTTGTCTCTTTCCTGTCTCTTTGTGCCTCTGAAAGACCTAACAGAGAGGGGCAGAGGTAGAAAGTTACACAGCTTGGGCGGGCCAGGCAGTTCAGCAGACTAAAGTGTCTGATGCAGCATCTGGGGCCCCCTGCATGCTGTGCTGGCCCCACCCCTGGGGCATGCTGAGACACGGCTGAGACTGGGTCTGGTGGCCCGCGCCTGTAACCCCAGTGCTTGGCAGGTTGAAAACAGGAGGATCACTACAAGTCTGATCTGTGTAGTGAGACCCTGTAAGACTTTTTTTTTTTTTTGCTGTACCAGGGATTGAACTCGGTACCCTGTGCTTGCAGGCAAGCGCTTATTTTACTGAGGTATCTTCCCGGCCCTGTAAGACTCTTACTAAAATACATAATAACAACAAAAAAGTTACATAGTTTGGGCCAAGGATATAGCTCAGCAGCATAGACACGTGCCTGGTAAATGCACAGTCCCAAGTTTGATCTACAGTACCAAAAAAAAAAAAAAAAAAAAAAAGGCACACAACTGTAATCTCAACACTCTGGGGAGCTAAGACAGGAGTATCACAAATTTGAGCCCAGTCTAGACAATTTAGCAACTTAGGAAGACCCTGTCTCAAAATAAGAAAAAAAGAAAAAAAAAAAAAAGAGGAAGTAGCCAGTTGGATCCCCTAGGTTTAAGCCTCAGCACCAAAAACAAAAAAACTTCTGCAAATGGAGGTTAAATTGAAAAGAACATAAAGCCACTCTAATAGTCTCAGGGACAGGTGACCCAGGGCCAGGCTAAAGGCCAGGTCAGGGTTTGGAAGATCAGGAGTTATCCTTTGTCTGATTTCTCGGAAGTCATAAGTAGAAGGGATGGGGCTCTGACCTCTGACTCTTGCAGGCTGAGATCCCCAGGGAGGTGACAGGGCCCATCGTAGGCCAGAGGAGGCTGCACCTCACCTCTGTGGCCTGAGGTTCAGGGAGGCACTGCGTACTCCTGCACACACTGCTCAGGCCCGATCTGACCCGACTTGCTCATGCCCAGGGACCCCCTGGGCGTTATCTCCTCTCCAGGTACAGAAGAGACCCGAGCCAAGTCTCAGGCTGAGAAAAAGCAACCTCAGTTCAGTAGGATTGTGACTAGGAAGAAGTTTCTTGGTTTTGGCCACTCTCAGCTTCACACAATGAGTCCCATATCCAGAGCTGGGGCTGAAGTAGGGATTGTGCCCCAAGCCCAGGGCCTCTGGGAGGAGGAGTGGCTTAAGTCAGTAGCTGACTTCAGGCATTAATATGCACCCTTGCTTGAGGGCCAGGACAAGGGCTTGGATATGCACACTTAGCTTAGACCAGGCTGTCACCCCAAGACTTCAAGAAGGTGGAGCAGCTGTTCCAGGCTTGGCTATGCAGGCCCCAGAACCTCGACAAGGCTGAGGAGCCCACACCAACTACGGCATGAGCAAGACAGTGGGGTTGCCCCTTCCTCTGAGGCTGAAGAGCTGTCTGTCCCTGGGCCATGAGCCTGAGTTCAGCCTCATGACCAGACACAATCCAAGCTGTAGATCCAGCCGAGGACAAGAATTATTCTCAACCTTTACCTTGGCTCTAGCCTTGGACAAGTGGTGGCTGGGCCCAGGAGAATGCTGAGTAGCAGCGTCCATGGTCCTACCCTGCGCCAGAACCAGGCGCAGGGCCATCGGGGTAGAACTAGGCCCAGGCCCAAGGCCTCTTCAGAGGTGGTGCTATTGGCTAACCCAGACAAGCAGAAATCTGCACTGCACACACCCATTTCTTGGCTCAGGGAGTCACAAGGAATGTAGGGGCCTCCAAGCTTTGCTCCTAGGAGCTCTGGTCACAGAGCTGGAGGGCTCTGCAGGCAGTTCTCCTGTCTGGCAAATCTTCCCTGAGAGCACAGGCTGTGCTAGGAAACGGGAGGAGACAGGCACTGAGCTAGCGTCACAACTTCCTGGCTGGGGAGAGCAAGGTGGATCCAGCTTTGAGCTGGGGAGGTCATTCAAGCCCTCACCCCGCACGCACGCACGCACACACACACAGGGCTGCAGAGAAGGCTGTTCAAATGCAGAGCCCCCACTTTCTAGGAGTCACTTGGCCAGGTCCACTAGTCTGTAGATATCTATTTCCTCCCTTGGAAAATGATAGTAGCAGCATCTTTCCCATGGGTTAGAAAGAGCATTAGGTGACGGATTACATAAAGACAACAGTGACTGGCAAATAACATGCTCCTAAGTGTTAACTTTATGACTGGAAGTGGCTGCTTTAACAAAAGAGCCAAATTCAGCCACTCCCTCTATAATCCACAACCCTCTGAGACCCTCAGTTGTTCAAAAACCACAAAAATGGTATGCATATTGACATTTACATATATTTAAAAAAAACCACTGCAGGAGAGAAGGGAATTGTACACACAGGTCCTGCCCTGGCCCCTCCTACTCCTAGGTACACTTCCCTGATCACAGTGTTCAGAGGATTTCCCATGCCAATCACGCACAAGGCCTTTCTAGAGGGTGCCTAGGCCTCCAAGCCTGGCTGCTCCACTGTCTGCAGCACAGTCATAGGTCCCCGAGGTGGGGTAGGAGGTGGAGTGCCTGGATCCCACAAGATGTCTTCATACAGGCCTAGGACTGGGCCGGAGGGCCGTCCTTGAGCCCCAGTCTGCTCCAGCAAGGTTTTGAGCAACCCCACGGTGAGAGGGGGCTCTGCCCCAGGGTCAGGAAATGGGGTGGGGGGTCCCCCCTCATCTGGGAGGTGTGCTCTCAGGAGAAGCAGGATCTCATCTGGAGCCAGTTCTGGTGGGCACAGGCAGCAGAGAAGGGGGAGGTGGGCATCCAGCTGGCGGTGCCGTGCAAACTCTGCCAGCAGCAGTTTGAAGATCTCGCTTTGAAGCAGGGGGCTGGAGGGCCCCAAGGCCAGGCCAGCCTCCAGAGCCCGCTCCCATTGCTTCTTCTGCACCAGCTGCCCCACGGCTTGCAGCACAGCTTTGGGCCGCCTGCTGCCCAAAAGCAGCTCTATCTCCAGTGCCTCAGGTCTGGCCCCTTCTTCACCTAGAACAGCTAGGGCTCTGCGGTAGAGGGGCAGCCCTGGACCTCCAGCTCCCCAGCCTGGCCCGCCCTGCTGCTGGGCCACCTCCACGAAGGCGGGGAGCCACCGAGGCTCCAGGCGGCACAGGCACTGGCACAGGAGTTCAAAGGCAGGCAGAATCCCAGTGGGGAGTTCCCTTCCTGGTGCTGCACCTCCTAGCACCTTTCTCCACACATCAGGGGGAGCCTGAGAGCTCAGCCTGCCATTCCCATCTGGCTGGAGCTGCAGGGCACGAAGGGTGGCACCCCAGGCTGCGGAAGGAAGGGCCTGGAAGACAGTGTGGAGCTGGGCAAGCTGCTCTCCTGTCAACTCGGTCCTCAGCAGGCGGGCTACCTCTTGGTGGGCCAGCTCCGTCCAGACAGCCTCCTCCTCCTCCCCTGCCACCAGCTGGGCCTTGAGCTGCTCTAGGCCCTGGTAATCCCGTAGCTCAGCCTTTAGGGTAGTCAACAGTGCAGGTGGGGACAGGTGGCCCTGGAGGATGGAGGCGAGGGCTTGAGGTGCTTGGAATGTGCTGCTGTACCTCAGTTCCTCTGGAGTGAGCTGGGCACCCCGCAGGCTTCGCCGCTGGTAGTACCCACAGGCCTCCTCGAACACCAGGTCGGTGGCTGAAGGCAGCTCAAGGGACTGAGGGGCTTCCCAGCCTACGTGAAACAGACCCAAAGCTGAAAGCAAATGAAGGCCCCCTCGTGTCTGTAGTTCTTCTCTGTCCTTCATCGCAAGGGCTGCGGGTTCGAGCAAATGGACTCTGTCCGTACTGAGGACCTTCCTTTCCAACAGCCGCCCGGTGCCCAAGTCCAGAAGCTCCAAGGTGGAGCCTAGCACACAGGCCAGAGTGCCATGGAACGTTCCCAGGGCTGCAGAGCCCTCCAGACCTACAGGGGCCTCCTGCAGGGCGCTCACAGTTCGCGTACCACCATGGGCCTGCACGAGGCTCACCGTGCCCCTGGAGTCCAGCATCAGAAGGCCCTGGGGAGTCGGGGCCCAGGTATGGACGGCCAGCGGCTCTCCGGGGGAGAGCAGCCCAGGAAAGCTTCGGAGCAGGGTTCTAAAGTCCCAGGTATCCCCGTGCTTGGGATTCAGGCTTTTACTGTAGGACAGGCCGAGACGCGGGGCAGCCACCATCACCTTGCCCTTGCTCGGGTTCCAAGCGAGCAGGATGTGGGCCACACCCGGCCAGGTGGAGGCAGTGGGGCCCAGGAAGACGTCCTTGCGCGAGGCCAGCAGGTGGAAGGGCGGGCAGTGGTGCAGCAGGACGTGCGTGCGGCCCAGGCGGGCACCAGTCTCGCCGCCAGGCTCTAGGGTGCGGACGCACACGCGGCGTCCGCCCGCGCCCGGGCGCTCCTCGCACCACACCAGGCGGCCCCGCGGCGCCACCGCTGCCACCACGCGGACTGCGCCGCGCGGACACAGTTCGGTGGCGTGAAGCCGCCTCCAGGCGGACCCCAGGTCGGCACCCCAGAGCTCCGCCAGGCCGCTCTCCCACACCAGCGCCACCGCGGGCTGCGCCGGCCACGCCAGGAAGAAGGCGTCCAGCGGCGCGGCGCGGGCCTCCGGCCAGGCCCGCTCCAGCCCCGCGC